CAATCGTACCAGACTAGCATGGCAAATATCGCAATCTCTCAGAGGACCCGGACATATTTGCATTTGATAGCTTCAGGAAGGAGTAGATGATCAGATAAACCAGAATGACGACGCACTATGCAATGCAAAAGCATCCTACTCGTAGTAATTCTTGCAGTCATCCATTACAAATCTTTTTCTTGAGGTAAATCCGCACTACAAATTTCCTTTCTCATGCGGAGTAAATTTGTAATGCATTTGATATACGAGTACGATACTTTTGCAAGGCATACGCAGGTCACCATGTCGATTATCGTCGCGATTTGGAAATCAAACCGCGCCATCCTGGTTTGCACGACGCGCGCCATCTCAAAGTCAACCGAAGAGGCAGCTCCCTCCTGCGCCGCTTCTCGGGCGATTCGGTAGGAGAAGCCCTGGCCTGTCGCGGCGATCATCAGAGAAACGACGACGTGGGACACAACATCATCCAGCACCGTGTTGAACGGAAGTCTCGGCAATCTCTCCAGCGTGACCCACTGGATCGCGAAGCTGGTTAAGAACAGCGCGAACAGCATTTGTAAGCGCCCGACCAATATGAAATGCAAAAGCATCGTACTAGTATAAATCGCATGACAAATTTCCTCAGCATGAGAAATAAAATTTGTGATGCGGATTTATCTTGAGAAAGAAATTTGTAATGCATGAATGCGATTAGTACGAATACGATACTTTTGCACAGGATAACCAAGTCAATCGGTTCGGTGAGAAAAGTGATGAGGCTGAAAAAGGCGCAGAGGTATGGATGTGGCAGAATTGAAATAGACGAAATCGAAAAATTTGTGATGCATAAAATCGATACCAGTTGGAGCCTCAGTTTCCAAGCGGCGCATGACAAATTTCGGGAGGACCGAAGTCCGGTCTGTCATGCTGTTTGGACAAAGAAGACTGCTCCTGTCATGCTATTCTGGCTGCTCATTGCATACTTACCCCTAAACAGGTTTACAATCGGTCTCATTTGCGTGCTCCCCAATGCAGGCCTTCAGTGCCCTACATTTTATGCATCACAAGTTTTTCGATTTTGTCGATTTCGATCCTGACACATCCATAAGAGGTAGAGTGGGAGTATCCCCTTCTGCAAGTAAAACCCCGGAGTCCGTTTCAAGTGCACCGAAAACATGAGATATGAAGAAATCACACAACTCTTCCTAGACTGCCTCATACTTGAAAGAGCATAAGCAGCAACAGAAACGGTGGCAGAAATGTAGCTTCTGCAGGGCAAGTCCGCAACATTTTTTACGTAGTACTAGCTCCTGTCTACTGCTTAAGTTCATCTGCAGGGATTTGCCATGCAAGGTAGCTCTAAGGCGCATAACGTTACGTCAGGAATTGCGTTTTTGCATGACAAATGAGGCGGAGGAGGAGCTGGTGTGCACCGTCTCGTATCAAACCCGGTTTCACTACCGGTTTCTCGGCCGACCAGTTTCCGCACAACCGGCCTTCGCCGTAACTCACGCGGAATAACTCGTAATCTCCACTGTGCTTCACACAATTCCACTGAAATTGCTGCCACTTGCCGCTGTACCCATCTTGCAGCTTCCGGGGCAGGTTGGGGCGCTAGATATCCTTTGCAAAATAAATATCGCACTCGTAGTACTTAATTGCAGGTCTGAATGTTAACAGATCTCCTTTCCAAAGTATCGAAACAGAATGACAAATTCGATTTGTCATGCTGAGAAATAAATTTGTCATGCAATCTATAAAATATAACCAGTACGATACTTTTGCAATGCATACTGGAATGACATCTGCAGATCGGTGAACAGCTCACTGCGGCTCGCTGAAAGAAACACCGACACGTCTATCCGGACGGAATCGAAGGGAAAAGCCCGCATGCGATCGAGCTCCGCCCCGAGATTCACGCCCTCACTATCAAATGCAAAAATGTCTGGGTCTGGAAGAATGCAACTTGTAATGCGTATTTCAGCACACACAACAGTTTCTTATGCATACGTAGCAAAAGTTGCCCATTTTCTGTCAGCTAAATAGGGGACTTGTCATGCGGATTCGGCATTGCGGAAGCTTCTCGAAACCTGTGATGCTAGAGCTTCCATGCCAGACCTTCTGTGTCATGCAAAAACAGCATGACTCTTCCAGACCCAGACATTTTTACATTTGATACTCACCGGAGAAAAACATTTTGCAGTCCATCCGCAGCTTGCCGTCCCTTCTGTCGTTGCTGTAGTGTCGCGGAACTTCCTGGTATTTTTCCGCTTTTTCCATGTTTACACCGTAACTCGCGATAATTTCCGGTCGCCAAATTTCCTCCGGGATTTTCTTCCCCTTGGGAAAGTCTTTCACACGACAGTTATCAAATGCAAAAATGTCTGGAAGATCAGAATAATGCACATTTTGCATGACCCATGATGGCTGTAATGCATGACCTAGCATCACAGATTTTGACTTTGTGAGGCCCAGGGCTTCCTGATCATCTTCATCATGCCTATACCGCATGAGGAATACCCGCTCTGCGTAGCAAAAACTGGACTCCTCTTGCTGCTTACGCAATACAGTTTTTTTTAGGACCCAAAGACAGCATGACAAGTTGCATCCTTCCAGTGGTCCAGACAACATATTTGCATTGCATAGTAGTCAAACCAGTGCAGCTCCAGATACGCTTCCATCTTGCAAAACTCGTGGTCGTATCCAATGCAAATATGTCTGGTGTTTTGTCTGGAGACAAGACCTTGGCACAGGACAGTGATTTGTTTCTCCAGTTTTTGTTCCAAGCTCCACCAACCCAAGTAAGGAATGCAAGGCCTAGCGTCACAGGTTCTGCTTCTCCTTCTGCAGCCATTTGGTCGTGGCGCCTATTCTGCATGGGAAATGCCCTCTGAGCATGGCCAGATGAAGTGGGCGCCTTTTCCTGCAGGTCATGCAACATCACAGATTTTTGGATGATCCGCAACACGCATCACAGGTTCGAACCCTTCCAGACATCCAGCGATATTTGTTGCATTTGATACGTCATTGGACTTCGCGATCGACCACTCTTTTACTCGGAAAACGCACTCGATTTCCGTCGGATACTTTTCCGACAGGTCTTCCGGGTTCAACAACGCAGGTCTGGTATCCTAAGCAAAAACGTCCCGACCCCGTAGTCAAGTTGGGAACTCTGCAACACAAATTCAGAAGTTTTACGAGCCACGCATCACAAGTTTTTCTCCGTATTGTAGTGCAGGTTAGTTGTAAGGGCGGCCACATCACAAGTCCATCTTCTTATCCTGTTTACAGCATCACAAATTCTGCAGCACGAGTAAAAATGCTCTCTTCATAGGGATGCGCATTTACAAATCTTTCTGTAACTGCAAATCTGCATGACAACTATCAAGTGTCGAGTAGGCCAATTTCCCAACGACCCTTCTGTGCTATGATTGCAATACAAGAAAAAAAAAATGGCTGTCGAATCTGGAGCGAGTGCTGAATTGTCGCCCTGCATCGTGGCACGCCCACGGGTCATTAGAACTTCCACGGCTGCAGTGTAGAGCTCCTCGCTGTTCGCTGGATAAGCGGCTGCTCCAGTTGGGCCCCCTGGCACCCTAATCCTACTGCGGCCGCGCCCCCGCCTGCTGCGCGCAGTCAGGGTCGCAGAGAATCGGCTTAATGCCCACTCGTTGCTATGCGTACTATGCGTGCTATGCTTGCTATGTTTGCTGTGTCGGGGGTGCCACAGCACACATAGCACACAATTTTGGCCCGCGCACGGTGCTGTGCGTGCTATGCGTGCTGTGCGTGCTATGCGTGCTATCGTTGCTGTGGGCCGCTCGCTAATGCGACCACAGCAACGAGTGGCTCGGCCCTGCACCCCCCAGCAACGGCTCCAGGGAATGCCGCCGGAGCGCTGGGCCAAGTGCGAATGGTGTGGCGCGGGCCGCCGCAACGCGGCCGCCAACGGAAATACCTAGCGCGCCTGCCTCAGGTGGTGGGCGGCTTTGCTTCTGGTTACCATCCGAATCGCCCGGCACAATCTGCGCCGGCTCTTTTTTCTTTTTGTGAATGCGATCATAGTGATTTAGGGTCGTTGGGGATTGACCTACATAACAAGTGGGGACGTTTGTACAGAGGATATCTGGTCGTGAAGTCTATGGTATCGTACATATCGTCCACACTGTGCTGGTAGGTGCTCGCCACGTCCGACAAGGCTGCTGCACTGGATAATTGCGGCTCGTTCTGAGCTGCTCCTCCTCCTCTTGGCGTTATTTGCTTCTCTTTCTCCAGCAAAAACTCTTCCCATTCCTTCGGCGGCACCCCGTTTTGGGGCGGCAATGGCTTCACGAGGCTCCAGTCGAAGCTGTTTTGCAGGCGGGAGGGGGTCGTCGCTTTTTCCAGGTCCTCCGGGGCAACGACGGCCGACAGAGACGCGGACAGGGAGTCTTGGGATTTCGAACGCATAGTCAGTTATTACATACAGTTTGATATAAAGAGCACTTCTTCATCTAATTAATGTTCTTTGCACTCGAGCTCGAGCCTCTACTTACGTCGTTGTGAAGGCAGAAGGCAGGGGCAGGAAAATCATGAATGGGGTCGCTCGTTGGGAGGGTTGATCCTCACTGGCCCTGTACGGGACGAAGGGGGTCACCGACCCGTCGTTTTGGGCGGCGGGGGGTGAAGCGAACGCGAGATCCAGGCTGTTAAGTGCTCGCACTTCCAGATCGGATCCAACGAGTGTTGTAGTTCCAAATGAATTTCAAGATCGATGTAGATGATCCTGATCATACATGATTTCTTCAGGTTGTTGAAAAGAACAATTACGTGGCCGCAAAGGACCGCGTCCTGCGGAAAGATGAGGATCGCCGATAGTGGAGCAGCACCAAACATTCGTTCACAACCAAAAGATAAAGCACCGGTACACGTACACCCTGAAACATTCAACACAAAAAAAAAAGCGACGGTCATGAGGCTTACATGCTAAAGCCACTCGTTTCATCGGTCCGAACAGAAATAAGTAAGTAATCTTCCCCAATGCAGCACTTGAGTTGCAGAGCAAGGAAGAATCATCCCTTGCTGCACATGATCGCCAATCGTCGTTATCAAAAAGATGAAATCGTCTCAGATGACATCTTGCATTTTTTTTGATTAGAAAGAAACCGTTTTGGCCACTACGTGAGGAAACAATCATACAGTGCACTAAGGGAATCAAAGTCAAGACCTCCCTGCTTTGCAAGCCTCCGCCCCCGACCGAGCACAGTTTTTTGACAGCAAGAAACCTTCTTTTTTCATTTGGATCAGACACAGCGGCCGACTCGTCGTCGGTCGCGTTCCGCAGCCGACCTTTCTTTGTTCCTCGAATAATTATTCTAAAATTCCTCCGCCTCAGTGAGCACCCCCATCCCGAGAAAGCTTCCACTATCTGTGAATTCCTGGGTTAAATCTACTCGCCAACAATTCCCCTCGCACGGCCTGACGGCCTTGTTCCGGTACTCCTTTCCGTTCACCCACGGCCGCAGGGCCCCCTTCACTAAATTTTTCGCCGATACGGCGAGGTTCTTCCCCTGGCGCCACGCCGTGCGGAACCGCTTGAGGTAGCTGTACACGATCAGGTAGAAGACAATCACGAACGCCGTCGTTAGGTCGTATGAAATGCAAAAGCATCGCACAAGTTCTAGTACCAAATATAGCCGCCGGGGCGGGGGTAGTGAGGTCGTGGGCGTTTTTTTGCCGACCGCAGCCTTGGCCGCGGCTTTGCTTTTTATGGGCTCGCCATACCACCGCGAGTAACGTTATGCCGCACGGTATGGCGGCCACTTGGGAAACGTCGCAAATTTTGGCAAATTCCCGAAATTCCTTACCGAAAGCCAGCCCCCATGCTATGGGGCCGATCCGGGTGCCACGGGGGGCGCCCAAAAAGCGAAGAAAAATCGGGCCCATAGCATGCGGATTGGCTTTGCGCGCGCGGGCCGCTTTTTCTTTTTCGCGTTTTTATTTTTCACGCCGGCGCTACTTTTTGCAAAGCTTCCCAGGCTCTGAAACCGGCGAAAAGGCGGCCGCTTTCGCGCCCGCCCAAAATGCTCCGAAATCGCGGCCGTGCCATGCTGTTTCGCTGTTCTGATTTTGGGCGCGTTTTTTGCGCGCCCCTTTTTGGGCGCCCCAAATCGCCAGAAACCAAGGGGGTGGGCGCCTCAGAAGGGCGCCCCTTTTGGCGGCTCCTTTGCGTCGTTTTATCAAGTGCGAATCGATAGAATCCGCTCGGGCTTGTTTGATATCAAAGCCCCGCCCGCTTGATAAGTGAAAACCTTTTATCCTCAAAAACACTTCCGGCCGCTTGAAAACTGCCGGTCGTTTTTCAGGGGAGATGGCAAAAAAACTCCCCGGTTAGAACCGTTCGGTGACCTCACTACATATAAATGGCATTACAAATTTCCTTAGCATGACAGATGAAATTTGTAATGCTGTTTTAGCTAAGGAAGACGGTTTGTCATGCACGTCTGGAATTAGTACGAGTACGATGCTTTTGCAGTGCATAGGTCGATGATGGTGGCAATTTGGAAATCAAAATTCTTCATCCGCGTGTCGACAAAATCCTGAGCAAAAACGTCCCCATCCTGTGATGCGGATTTGCAATTACAGGACCATTTGTAATGCGCATCTCCACAAAAAGCAGCTCTAGTCGTGCTTTCGCATTTGTACTGCTGTAAACAGCATAAGAGAGCGGCTTTGTCATGCAGCCGCACTTGCTAAGCTACACTTCCAATAGAGAGGGAGAGAAACTTGTCATGCGTGAGTCCCAAAACTTGGGCATTTGTGTTGCTAAGTTCCCAATCATTGAGGCTGGGGTAGGGAGGACGTTTATTTTCCTCAGGATAGACAAGGGTCATAGCGTCCACCAGAGTAGTCTCCTCCTGCGCCGCTTCCCGCGTATGCATTGCAAATATCCCTGGATGTCTGGAAGAGTACAACTTGTCATGCTACATCTGAATCATACAAAAATCTGTGTTGCATGATTATCAATAAAGCTGTGCACTTTTGAGAAGGCCGAGAGGCAGTTTCTGATGGGGAAAAGGCATGGTAAAGATCTCACATCAGAATCTGTGATGCTACGGCATGCATCACAGACCTCACGCGTCATGCCAAACGTGTATGACAAACGTTGCACTTTTCCAGAGGACTCAGACATATTTGCACTTGATACCGCGCGATCCGGTAGGAAAAGCCCTGCCCCGTGGCAGCGATCATGAGGGATACCACCACGTGCGACACGACGTCATCGAGCACCGTGTTGAAGGGAAGTCTTGGCAACCTTTCCAGCGTCACCCACTGGATCGCAAACGCGGTCAGGAACAGCGCAAACAGCATCTGCAACCGTCCCACCACGTCGATCGGTTCCGACAGGAAGGTGACCAGGCTGAAAAACGCGCAGAGGTAGAGTGGCAGTATCCCCTTCTGCAAGTAAAATCCCGGGGTCCGCTTCAAGTGCACGGAGAACATCAACGCGGGTTTGACCACCGGCTCCTCGGCTTGCCAGTTCCGGGAGAGAAACCCCTCCCCGTAGGAGACCCGGAAGAGCTCGTAGTCGCCCGAGTGCTTCACCGTGTTCCACTGAAATTGCTGAAATTTTCCCGAAAAATTGTCGACCAACTTCGTCGGCATGTTGGGCCGCTGAAACGAGACCTGGAGGTCTCCGGGAAGTTCCCCACGTCGGGAACCGGACAGAAAAATAGACACGTCGATCCGCACCGAGTCGAACGGAAAGGAGCGCAAGCGGTCCAAATCCGCGCCGAGGTTTACCCCGTCACCGGAAAAGAAAAACCTGCAATCGATCCGAACCTTGCCATCTCGCTTCGTGTTGTAGTAGAACCGGGGCACCTCCTCATAATTCTCCGCCTTGTCCATGTTGCAGCCGTAGCTTGCATATCCTGTGAAAAAGTATCGCACTCGTAGTAATTGCAGTCATGCAAGACAAATCTCGTTCCCAAGGCAAATCAGCATGACCAATTCCATTTGTCACGCTGAGCGAATTTGCATTGCAATTACTACTAGTACGATAATTTTGCAGTTCATAGTGCACAAATCTCCGGCCGCCACGTGTTTTCCGGGATTTTTTTGTTTTTCGGGAAGTTGTATGCACTGCAAAACTATCGCACTCGTATAAATGCATTACAAATTTCCTCAGCATGAGAAATAAAATTTGTAATGCTGATGCACCTTAAGAAAAAGATTTGTAATGCCTAATTGCAATACGAGTACGATACTTTTGCAGTGCATAAGTTGTCCAAGCGGTAGTCGTACCAGTGCATCTCCAGAAAGCCCTCCAGTTTGCAGAACTCGTGGTCGTTCGACTTCGAAATCGACCACTCCTTCACGCTATGCACTGCAAATATGGCTGGGTCTGGATTTGTGATGCAAAATGCGAAGCGCAACAAGATCTGTGATGCAAGAATGCCGATGTTCAATTCTTTTGTCGTGCTGCATATGGTAGCTTGTCATGCTAAACATGACTAAAATCCACAAGGAACGCTGAGGAAAACTTCTCATGCTGTTACGCCGTAAGAGCGGCCCGTTCGTAATGCAAGCATCAGCAGCACAAGTTTCCACCAGACGGAAATATACTTGCATTTGATATACGCGAAAAACAACTTCCACCGGGGTGGCATACTTCTCGTCCGGGTTCTTCGGGTTCACTAGAAACGGCCGCTGCGAAAAGTCGATCGTGTCATACAGGTCGTCTATGCTGTCTTGGTAGGACGTGAGAGTCGACACTGTGTCGGACTGCAAAGCTGCTACTTGGGCACCTTGTTGTTCTTTTTCCTGCAAAAGTTTCTTTTGCTCCTTCCCCACTTCTTCCAAGAAGCTTGCCCACTCCTTCGGGGGCACCCCGTTGGCCGGGGGCAGAGGCTTGATGGCGTCCCAGTCGAGGTGTTTCAAGCGGTTTGGGGTGGCGGCGTCTTTTACGTCCTGCTCGGGCGCCACGGCAGAAGAAACCAGCGAAGACATGGATTGAGATGGGTGGAGAGGAGGCTTCATGATGGTAGCTTCTTGCGTTTTATTAAACTGGGTTCTTGAGAAGTTGTAGTGCGGGTGGCTAGTGTCGGGCTCCTGGGGGCTGCTCTAGGTGGGGTCGCTCATAGAAGGACAACTGTTAGAAGTGTGCTCGGGACTAGTATTACTGATAGTTGATACGGGGGCGCGAGCATCAACATCGATACATTAGAATCTGCTTAAAGTCGCGCGTCTTGCGTTTATTTTGTGACGCGACCACTGAAAAATCAAAGCCACCAAATAATCTCAACACGCAGAAGTTCCCTCGACTTCGCTCAACGGAGTCGTGCCTTTTTGCTGGCTGCGGTGGCTAGTGTTCGTCGTGGTCTCTCTGCCTGCACGGACGATATCTTCGGCGCCACGGAACCAGAGCGCGGCTCTCTGGAACAAATAGAGCGAACTCCTCTTTTCCGAACACAAGAAGAGCCACTTCATGACTCCGAAGTGTGAAATAAATGTTGCCGCGGCTTTCGTCCGCTATTCTGTTTCAATGCGGGGACAAGCAACATTAGGACCCCCCGTCGCACCTACACGGCCGTGTTTGCGGCCGAGCTTGTGGGCGCCACGACCCGAGCATGTCCTTCCCAAGCGAGCACTGAATGGCGGCAACTGCCGCGGGCGGCGACGCCTTCGCGGCCGCGCAAAAAAATGCATCTATGCATGACTGCAGCGCGCCGGCGGCCGTCTCCGAGTCAGCCGGGAGGCGGGCGGCAGGCAGGCCACGGGGGCTGCACACAGAAGCGCGCGCGATGTCTGAACACGAAAGGCCGGCCAAGCCAGGCACAACGAACAACCTAGCGCGCGGCAAGCCGGCCCCGCCGGCCGGCGGCCGCCCCCCCCCCCCGCCCGGCCCCCCGCGACCCGCGGCGGCCGGGGGGCACGCTCCACCCTGCTCCCATTTCAGGGCCAACCCGCGCCGCGCCTCCAGGCCATCGAGTTCCATCGGCAGAATTTCGCCCGCTGCAAACAGTTTGAGCGCGCCGGCCCCTCCGCCCCGATGTCGGCAATTCTTTTGGTCCGGAAGTGGGGCCGTCGCATTCGGGCACGCTGCGCATGCCGGGCCGCGGGGCCTCCCAACGACATGACAAGGGCCCGCTCGTGCCCGGAGCCCTGGGCGCAGAAGAGTCCCCAGAAAGGGGCGGACCGGAAAAATCGGCGATCAGAGGCTACGCAGTCGCGGCGGCCGAGCCAGCTGCGATGAGAGCGCCGCGGTCATCGTGCGTTCGATCGAGCTGGGATCCTCGGCTTTCTGAGACGTCGGTCGGGCAAACCGCGAGGCCCTCCCGTAGGGGGCCGCCCCTGCCCTCTCGGCCTGCCGCCCCGCCCCTCTCCGCCGCGTGGCCACCATCCAAAGGCCGCCCGGCAAAACAATCAAAACCCCGGCCGGCCCGCCGGCCCACCCGGTCGCTGCGCTCCTGGAGGTAGGTCCGCTCGCCCTTGATCGCGTGGCCCGCCTTTTCCAGCTCCCTCCGGGCGTCTTCCGCTTCTGCCTTAGTGCACCGGCCGCACCCGTCCGCCGTGGTTGGTTCGCCCATTTAGCCCACCAACGCGCATCGCTGTACATAGCCGCTGCGGGAAAAGGCGGCGCGCCTTTGCTCTGACTGCCGCCGGGCACGCTTGCGCAAAAACTTGGGGCGCGCCCTGCGGTCGCAGGCAGTTCGCACGCCGTCGAAGGCCTCCGGAACACCGCAAGGCAGGAGCAAGGCAACCAAGGAAGCCCACAGCCTTAGGTAGGGCCGTCGTGCCACACGTGGATTGGACGCGGAGCGCCGTCGTGACCACTATGGGGCGCGCCGTGTTCGTACCCTCGCGCACCGGCCCGGCCGTCTTATCGGGGCCATGCGCTTCAAAACACAGACGCAACGGCCCGCGCAAGAGGTTCCGCGTTTCCTGGGTCGGTGTGGCGGTCGTCTGCGAATCTCATCAAAACGCTCGCTTCGCGAGTCGCGGAGCTTTTTCGTATTCATATCGTCTTGCTCGGGGAACACACATTACTGTCGCACTCTGCAGCTCACCGCTCAGGCGCTACAGTGCTTCTGGGCGTCTATGGTCAAGAGACCTGTAGAGCTTCTATTTCGAAACAAACGAAGATCTTCGGAAACTTGCTCTTGCGTTTTGGTTTCTTTGTTGAAAATCATACACGACTAACAGGACGCAAAAATAAGTAGCAGGGTGATGCCCCTCTATGTTGAAGGACAGTCATCTCGCAAAAATCCGACTTCTTCCTCTCTAGTTATCCTCGCCGCCGATAAGTACTACCTAACCCCCTCCATCTCGTCCCTCCGTCGCGGTGGTCCACTTCCCGTTCTCCCAAACAAACCGCGGCTGCGCATACTGCTCACCATAGCAGATTTTCAGCAGGTTGTCCCGCAACGCATCGTCGACGAAGATCCGGGTTTTGATCGGTTGCTGCTGCTTTGCTGCTTCTGGAGGCCTTCTTGTTGTACTGCGGGTGCGGCTCGGCTGCATTTTTGCTCCGGTCAATTTTTGATCTTTCACTTCGCTATCATGACCCCCGCTTGTTCCGTTCATTTGCCCGCGTGTTCCCTTTATCCTAGTAGTACTACCCAGCGAAAGCGTAGAAGAGCTCCTGTCTTCTTCACCGAGATCACCCGCTACATCAAATAAACCGGCTTTCCCCCCGATTTCCACCTCCATCGTCTCCGGAAAGTTATCCACAGCGTAAAATCAAAATCCCGTACAACACGTACGAAAGCTGTCTCTGCATGAGAGAACTGGGCTGCTTCGATCGTAGTTTAGCATGACAAGTGTTCTTATACATCAAATCAGAGTGGAATTTGTGATGCCTCTCGTGTATCATGTTGCACGAGAACAAATTTCCGCTGCATAAAAGTCCTCGACCCGCAACAGTCCCAATCTTTGCTGAATCGCGAGGGTGCTAAAAGCTGAAGTAGAAGATGATGCGGCTGTTGAGAGCAGGTGCTTCGAAGTGATACTTGACCGACACTTGTCCAATTCCCCAATCTCTGCCGCGGTGTGGAACAGATACTTCACCCGGTCGCCGGTACTCGCCAAGCTTCTCGCTGGTCCAAGCCTCCTATTCCGGTATGCAGTGCAAAAGTTGTAAGCAGCGCGTCGCTGAAAGGAGAGTAGGAGTGCTAACTGCAGTATTTTGCATGACAGTAGACCTCGCTTCTTTTTAACTGAAACAGCATCACAAATTGATTTCATTTTGTCTTTTGAACAAAAAGCGAATAATCTTTGTACCCTGCCTATGAGCGCGATCATACTTCACCTTTTGCAAAATGCATATCCGGTCAAATTTCTCCATTTCGTGCCGGTTCAACCCGCTCAAGTCCAACACGGAGAAATGCGCGCCGCCGTGGGTGTTGCGGTCTTTAGACAATTTCCGCGGCAATACGGACGAATGCTGACCTGCTTCTTCTTCTTGCTGACTAATGGAAGACGAATCGTAGAAAAACGCCTGCAAGAACCCGTTTGCGATCTTCTCAAAAAACGGCTCCCCCGCCTCGGTCAGTGTTGCCGCTTGCTGGATTCCGATTCGCTCCTCGTGATGTTCATTTTGAGAAGTGATGGGGGATGACGAGTCGAAGAAGGAGTCATTTTCCCGGTCTTGTTCCCCGCCTCCAGCTGCACCAACTACTGTCGACGACGCTTTGTATCCAAATGCGCTCGTCGTAGTAGATGTTCTTTCCGCTTTACTACTTTTCCCCCAAGAAGTAGTACCCCTGCTTTGCTGTTCATCTTCTTCTTCGAACGACACGCCCTGGAATTCCCGCCATTTATGCCGCATCACGAACCGCGCACCCACTTGCCCGGCCCAGGACATGGCGGCAGTGTTATTTGCTTTGCTGGACTGCGGCGTCGTGCTGTTTTGGAAAAAGAAATGAGGTAGGTTGTGACGATTGATGTTCTCCGCAGCATTCGTATCATGCTGCTCAACCGAGCTGTTTCTCCCAAAATCATTATCACCGCTGGGTAACATCATTTTCCCAGAAGATAAATCCTGTTTCAACATCGTTGTGCTGGAAGATGCAGTTCTTCTTCCAGACCGCAATTTCTTCTTGTGGTACTTCCGCCACAACTTTTCCAGCCTCTTTTTCGTTTCCTCGTCTTCGATGAGCGCTTTTATGACCTGCTCAGCTGTTACAATCTCAAACGTTACAATGGAATATGGGAATCTGTGATGCAAGAAGTGCACGATCTACCCTACTCCCAGCACAGGATTTCGCATGACAAGTTCTGGAGTCCCAATCGAATCCGCACTGGAATCTGGCGAAATTTGTATTGCACAAAGTGGAACGCTGTGCGAGTCTGTCATGCTCATCATGCAACACAAAACCCAGACTCTATGGTAACCGATTTGAGATTGTAACGGTTGAGCTGGTCATAGCTTTTTTTCCAAATTTTTCGAAGCTCTTGTCGGAGAAAATTAGCGCAAAGTCGGCTTTGGACTCCTCGAACAGCCCTTGTAGTGATTCAACGGGGGAAGAGGCGAACGTGACGGCGAGAAATATCCTTTCTGAAAACATCTCCACCCCAGGGTTGATGTCATGCAGATCTGCAAGCACAAGAGCACTTGTAATGCGCATCCCCATGATAGGAATTTCCGATCGTGTTTTGGAACTTGTAACGCTGTAAACAGAATAAGCAGATGGATTTGTAATGCGACTTCCCTTGCTAAACTGCACTACACTAGAGCCTGCAATTTGTAATGCGTGACTCCCAAAACTTCGCGATTTGTGTTGCAAATTCCCCATCTTGACTCTGGGGTGGGGACGTTTTTCCTTAGGATAAGAAGTTTGTCTTTGTTTTGGCTTTCGTTCTTTGCATGATGTTGTTGAAACGGTATGGTCACAAACGTGAAGGGTATAATCGCAACGCCGGAGGTGCTGTTGTTGTTTGGTGGGAACAATTCCTCAGTTGTTGCATCTTCTTGATCTTGTCCTCCGAGCGGAAATAAGCTTCCTGCTAGTACAACATGATCTTTCACACTGTGCAGCACCCTTCCTACCTCTGCCAGCATTTCCTTCCCCATGCCTATCAACTGTAAAAATGTCTGGGTCTGGAAGAATCCAACTTGTCATGCTGATTTTGGATTCTAAAAAAATCTGTATTGCGTGAGCAGCAAAGAGAGTCCAAGTTTTGCTACACGGAAAGAGCATTTGTCATGCGGTATAGGCATCAGGAAGCCGTTACAAAATCTGTGATGCTAGGGCCTGCATCACAGACATCAGGAGTCATGCAAAATGTGCATGACAAACCTGGCAATCTTCCAGACCCAGACATTTTTACATTTGATAGCGTCCACTATTTTACTACTCCCCAGCAGCTGCAAATAAGAACTCGGCGGTGCTGCTGTGATTTTCGTTCTTTCACCACCCATTGTTTCGGGACTTCGTTCTGCCATTTGTTCTACTTCCTGTGCTTCTGTCAGCGAGGAGGCTGCAACTGCTGTTGGTGCTGTTGTTGTTCTTCTTCTAGGCTTGTTTTTAGAAGATGATGGTGGAGAAACAACAAGTAGTTCCTTTTCATTCTCCTCCGCGACGAATTTCCGCACCACAAACGTGATGATCTGCTCCCAGAAATCCAAAGGAAGCATGATGTCCGCATCCGAATCGTAGGGGATAAACGACTATCCGCTGCAAAAGTATCGTACTCGTAGTAATCCTACTCTCACATTACAAGTTTTATTCTCAAGTTGAATCCGCATTACAAATTTTATTTGTCATGCTGACAAATTTGTGATGCGATTTCTACTACCTAGTACGATACTTTGGCAGTCCATAACGACTTATGCCGTTCGTACCCGAGCAGGGAGCCGTAGGCGAGGGAGTAGGGAAGAGGGGATTTTTCAGTTTTGCTGTGTTTTTTTTCAACGTGTTCTACTTCTTCACCTGTTGACGTACTACTAGTTCCTGGTTCCTCTGTACGCTGCAGTACTACCTGCTGCTGTGCTGAATCTCCTCGACGCCTCTGAGCGGCGGCCACTTCTTCCTTTCCACTTACACCGCCGCGAGACGAGCCCCCGCCGAAAAAGTCCTTGACAAACTGATCAAAGGCGTCGACCAAGGTTAACGTATCCGCGTACTTAGCGTCAAATTCGAAATTTTGCCCGTAAATCTGCTCTAATTTCGGGTAATCACAAAAATGCCCGCAGAACTCTTCAACCACTGTGTTCCGGAGAAGACGTTGCTCGTTTATTTCTTGTTTGCGTGTTACTTGTGCTGCTGCTGTCTCTTGGTCTTGCTCTTGCAAGTAAATAAATCTTCCCGTTGTATTATTAACAACTTCTTGACCTTCTTTGGTACTAGCTTGAAGTTGTACAACTTCCCCGTCGTGCTCGTGCTCAAATGTTGAAAATTCTGCAACAGAAGCTGCTGAAGTTGTGCTGCTGTCGTCCAGAAATAAAGCTTGCTGTCCTCCAGATTCAGCCCCGCCTGGACCTGAAGTAGAACGGCGCTTCTGCTGCTCTTTCCGCAGCAGATTCTTCATGCTGTTTTGCAGAGTTTCCTTTTCGAACGGCGTTCTTAAGGCTTCCAGGGGACGCCGGTTATTATTTGATGATGCTTCGTTGTTGTTCTGGCCGGTGCGAGTGATATCGTTGCTGTTCCTCGTCGTGCCGTGATCTCCTTTGCTGTTTCCATGATGCACGCTACTATGAAGTTCCTCCAGATTCCTTATGTGCAGAAACATCCACGTGCCGAAGCAGAGGAAAAAGAGCAAGCTGCTCAAGATCAACGGGTAGTGAAAGATCTTGAAACAAGCGGAGGCGTTTCTGGCAGCGAAAAGGTCGTCGATTTCCCGATCGGCCGCCGTGCTTATCCGGGAAGTAGTAGTAGTAGTAGTACGAGGCATAATGTACTTTTTTTTTTTCCCTGTAGTGGTCGAAGAAGAAGATTATGCGTACTTACTATTCTTACTTCTATCAGCACCACAAGAACTGTATGTAATAGTTCTAGTTGTTTGTACTATGTTCTATGAGTCGTGAAAATTATGCGAACTGCAGAGCTTTTCCGTTGTTTCAAGTTCTTGTGCACCATCCATTAGAAACGTCGATCTGAAGAACTACTACGCTCATCTCTTGCAAGCCTCATCTGATTGTAGTTCTTGCCGGGACAACACATTCGAACTCAACGCTCTTGCACGGGCAGACGCAGATGTCATCTCGGGCTCGCATGACGTCGAAGGACGGCGACAATTCAATCGACTTTATTTGCTCTCCTACTTATAAGAAAGCAGCTTCTCTGATGGAACAAGAAAACGAGGCGTCACGACTGCGAGCGCGAAGGAATAAAGGGGCAGTGAATTTGATTTTCTGCTCTTGCAATAAAACAACCCATTGCTTCTTCTGATGTTGTACGTACTATCTATACGTGGCGTTTATTTTGTGTGCAACTTGTTGAACAAATTGGATGACTATTCCCTTGTTTCGTATTCGTGTGGCATTCGACTTTAATTGTTTTTTTTTTTTTCGTTTTCTCGATTTGTTCTTAGACGAAACATGCAAATGCACCTTCTCCTTGTGCACCGTGAGTTGACCACCACCCGAATAAAGGACATCAAAGCTCTTTCATCTTTCGTTGGGCTTGGGTTGTCTCAAGTAGATGCAACGTGGCTTACCTTAGTAAAATTGCAGCCGAAGAAATTCAAATTAATTCATCCCTAATATGTTGTCAGTAGGTGTCAACATCGATTTCAACAAAAGCCGCCCAATAATTGCCTTTTATTCTTCATTCGTGCTATTTTTCCCTGCAAAGAACTCCCGAGCGCGCAAGACTTCCGCGACAGCGTCTGGGTCGCCGAAAAAGCCCAGTTTGGAAACGGCCCCGGGAGAGTCAGGATCTTCGGCGTACCGCACGAGCGCTCCCCGTACCCGGAGCAGGGTTCGCAGGGTTTCTTTGCCAACATCTTTATCGCCATCCTTTCCATTCACGTATTCGTGCATGTTATCAAGTGCAAAAATGTCTGGGTCTGGAAGATTGCGAGACTTGTCATGCTTGTCTGGCATGACCAAAAAGCTTGTGATGCGCGTTCAAGAAGAGATCCTTTTGCCTGTCATGCAAAAACGCACTTTGTCATGCGAAAAACGCAAAACAAAGAGGCGCAGACATTTCTCATGCTTGGCTGTGCATTACAGAGCATTCACTATTCCCAACGCAGCATTACAAGTTTCAGACCCAGACACTTTTACATTTGATACATGTACACGAAACACGACTCAACGCACATGTTGTGAAGCCTTGCCGGTGCCGCGAAGACAGCTCGATCTGCAGAAGTCGCAAAGGCGTCTGCAGAAGCGAGACCACTTAGTACAAACAATATTTCTGCAACGGACGCATACGTCTCTTGAATCTGAGAGGCGGAGGGGAGGAACCAGTCGCGAAGTCGTGTTCCAGGGCCGTGCGCTGCGGCTGCGGGAGGAGATGAAGAAGAAATAAAGGCGTGTATTCCGCCGCGCGGGTCGTTCTTTTCTCGGAACACCTCCGAAAACTGCGCGACTCTATTACAGTGAAAAATGCCCCCACCCCTAAAGTTTGATGCGAAGTTTCTAAATGAAAAGTTTTTGTCATGCATGAAAGGAGTATCAATCTTTCTGATGCATTTTCTAGGCGAGTATCGCATCGCTTTTGTGACAAGCGCCGCTCTTGCTGGGGTCTTTTGCAATACAAATTTTTGCTATTTACGATTGGAAACCTGTGATGCTGATGGATGCAAGAGGGCGAGTGTTTCATTTGGAAAGGTTTGCAATACAAACGTTCCCAAGTTCGGGGGCGGTGGGGGCATTTTTCATTGTAATAGACTCTATACATCCCGTACTGCGAGTGCGGGACGTCGTCGAGGTCTGGCGTGAAGCGGAGGAGAATATGGCGCTCTCAAACGTTACATTCTCAACTGTTAGATGAATTTGTGATGCAGGGGCCGCAACAGTCAAAGGCGCAAGCTTGCTGCTTTCGCATCACAGATTTGGCACCGATTTAGATGCTGTTTCGCCCTTCGGAGATTTGTCATGCGAAGCAGCTTGATCATCTACCGGGGGCTCAAGGTAGTTTTGCATGACAAATTCATGTAACAGTTGAGAACAAGGTAACCGATTTGAGAACACCATAGAGAAACGGGTCCGCGTTGGTCAGCGAGCTCCAGCGGCCACGCAGCCCCGTTTTCCTTCCGTCGGAATCCACCTCGTCCAAGTCAAAGAGCGCGGTGACCGGCCTGACCAACGCTTTTGGCGGCGGGTTTTCTAGCAGCCTCGGATCAACGTCGAGGCCACGGGCTAACCGCTCTTCCTCGTCGAACTGGGCATCGACCTCTCGAAATAACCGCTCCTCATGTATGGGAGTGTCTTCAGGATCGAAATCGACAAAATCGAAAAATTTGTAATGCATAAAATGTAGGGCACATAAGGCCTGTGTTGGAGACGAGGCGGCAAATGAGACCGATTGCAAGCTTGTTTAGCCCTACACATGTACTGCCAGAGTAGCATGACTACAGGCGCAGTCTTCTTTGCCTACACAACATGACAGACTGGGTTTTGGTGCTCCCAAAATTTGTCATGCGCCACTTGGAAACTGAGGCTCCAAGAACTGGTATCGATTTTATGCAACGTCACAAATTATTTCGATTTATGTTGATTTCGATCCTGACGCTTCCGTATCATGTGGGTCCACTGTAGGAGTGGAGAAGATTCGAGAGTGCGCGGCTTCAGCCACCGCCTGCAAGCGTTGTCGCCAAGTAGTAGTTGCTGTTGTTGTTTTTCCCGGGGATAAATCGTCGGGCGAGCGGCCACCCGTCCTCGCGGGTTCTTCTTCGTGATGATCTTCACGAGGCAGAAGCGACAGTAAATCCTTTAGCGAGCTTGCGCTTTTGAGATACTGGTCCAGTAGAGAGAGGGGGGCGTTCCACGGGACGTAGTAGGGCCGCCCAAATACCGGGCAGAAGGCCGGCGGCTTGCAAACAGGCTCGAGACGAGCCCACGGCTGCCGGTCGAGGGAGCCCTCGGACAAAGAGAACGCAGGTGGCCCAGCACTGCACGCACATCCTAGCAGGTCTCCGACTTTCACTGTTGTGCGCTGCTGCTCCTCTTTTTCTTCTTGGTGTAGTTGTTTCTGTCCTTCTTCCTTGATGTTGTTCTCCTTGTTCTGACCGGAGGAGTCACTCGTGGTTTTCACGACGGACCCAGCCGTTTTTTGTACAAAGTCCGACGATTTAAGCGGAAACTCATCTCCGCTTTTCGTTTCACCTGCTTGTTCATCTGCCGATAATGCTGAAGCCGATGAGAGCGCCGTTGAATTCAGAAACGAAGATTTTTCTTCATCAACCTGCTGCAGCACTACTTGATCTGCTTGTCCACCTCGCACAAGGATCATAGAAGAACGTGACGCAGCTGTTGGTGCAGCCCTTGAAGATGATGATGTAGTTTCTAAACTGCTAGTACCGCTTGTAGTTCTTCTACTGCCCCGGAGATTCGGACGGTGATGCGGAGGAATGTTGGAATTTTCATTTTCAACAAGAAGTGCATGATCTTCTTCGCGATCCTTTCCAAGCGGCTGGTCTTGGTGTAAAAGTTCTGGCTCGAGGACCACTATGCAAGAAAAAAACTGTGTAAGTGTAAGTTTCTTGGAGGAATAGCTTGCCCTGCATGACACGGAAAACCTGTCATGCGTAGCTAGTCTTTGAAAACAGCACATACGAAAGTAGCCACTCTGATGCAAGTCCAGCATGACAAGTGTAAGAACAGTTTTGCATTTTCTGCAACACAAAGTTACACTTACACAGTGGTTTTTTTCTTGGATACCAACTTCTTGCTGTTCTTGTTCCGGCTTCTCCGAGGCGACGTCCACGTCCTCAGCGTCTTCATCTTCAACAGGCTCTTCGAAAATAACCTCGTCGTCGCCTTCCTCGTCCATTGTTCTCGGAGCAGGTTGTACCCCCCCAGCTCTAGCGCCTGCTGCCCCAACTTCAAGAGCGGCGCGCCCGGACGCGGCTGGCGCAGAAGTGGCCTGATTGATGGCGCTGGGTGTTCTAGTTGTACTACTCTCTTCATTATCAAAAGTAAAAATGTCTGGGTCTGGAAACTTGTAATGCTGGGTGGCGTCTCATGATGAGGCTACAAATGCTGGCTCAGCATGACAAGTCTCTGAGCTCCTAGGTGTTGCCTATTCTGCATGACAAACTGCGCTTCTGCATCACAGAAAAACGGAGCTCTTGGGTAACGTGCATGACAGATTTAAGAGTCATGCCAGACAAGCATGACAAACATGAATTCTTCCAGGAGACCCAGACATTTTCACAGTTGATATTCATCGACGTCGAAGAGCTGCGCATCTTCGGAGGACTATGGCGTTCTCAACTGTTACATTCTCAAGTGTTACGTGAATTTGTGATGGAAGAATGGCACAAGTGATAGGAGAGATCTTGCGCGTCTTGCATGACACATCTGGCGCCGATTATCGTCCTGCTTGGCCCTCTGAGAATTTGTCATGCGAAGCAGCTTGATGGTGTAGATTCTGAAGGCAATTCTGCATGACAAATCATGTAACAGTTCAGAATGTAACGTTTGAGAACGCCATAAGGACGGCAGATGACTGATGTACGAACTGGCACGACCGTGTGCAGTTTTCATCATACTTGTTTTTCCTTCGCCTGCAGGAAGAACATCATCTTGATCTTCATCGTCAAAGAAGTCCTCATCGGGCGCTGCTGGGGCTGTTGTAGTCGGCTTATGACTTCTTGGCAGCTTCTGCTCTTTGTCTTCCTCGTTCGACCCCGTGCTGGTGGTTGTAGTTTCCCCGCCGCCCCGCACGTCGACGTCGCTTTCAGTAGTTGTACTTATTTCCAGAGCAGTTGCTCTGCTAAAGAGTAGCGTCTTCTCCTGCAGCAGCGCCGGCGCACCAAGGAAGATGAAAAGGAGGAGCAAATAACAGAAGCGGCGTGCAACACCGTCGAGGACCGCAGTAGCTGTAGTAGTGCGACCAGCGCCGGCAGAAGACGTTGGCGTCTTCCTCGCCGAGGGGACCACAAGAAGGACCAACATCCTCGGGTGGAATCAGTTGTAAGTAACAGCAGGAGTGGAGTAGATTTCTTCCTCCTACTGTCTGCCGTGCACGTGCTACGACGACCAGCAGTGAAGCTAGATTAGCACATCGCAGTCGTTCTGTTGTTGCAGGAGCGAGGGGCGGGTCCCAAAGCAATATGCTCACACTACATTCAACACGTTATTTCTCGATTCTTGATTCGCATTCTTTCGATTCACACTTTCAACATCAACTCCCTCCGGCAACTACAACATTTCTGGCCTCCTGAGTCAAATTGTTCTTGCAGACAGGCAGATAGGTGACGATTGGCGTTCTTGCGTCTTACTCTTACCCTCGATAGACAGGAGCGGGCTGCTCTTGCACTTCATCTAAGCTAACAGCCATTCGAGGCGATCTCAACCACTCCGCTCTTTTGCAAGCCTCGCTCGGCGGTCTATTCCAGTTTCACGAATAAAATGCATGACGTGCCCTTTTTTTCTATCTCTAGAGCCATGCTTCTGTTTCTACTATTCGATAGTAGGAGAAGCTTTTAGCGTAGTAGGAGAAGGTGAATAGTAAGAAAATAAGACCTAAACTTGTATCTTTTCGCACGGGCATAGTCTAGGGCTCGCATGACGTCGAAAATCGGCGAGAATTCAATCGCCTTTTGCTCCTGCCTGCGGCGGGTAGTTTCACTGGAACAAGAAAACGAGGCGTCACGACTGCGAGCGCCAAGGGAAGAGGTAGTGAATCTTTTTATAATCTTGCAAAACAACCTTTTTCCTGCCCCTGGTGCTGTACAAAAACACGGCACAAACAGGCGTAGTGTTTCCATAATGCAACTTGATGAAATTGGACAAGTATTATTCCCTTGTTTCGTATTCCTGTTCGTAATGGTGCGGCATTCGACTTTAATTGTTTTTTTATTTGTTTTCTCGATTCTTAATATTCGTAAGCAAAAAGTTTAAACTCACCTTCTGCACGATGAGTGGTTGATCAGAAAGGACAAAGCTCGTCCTCCATCTTTCGTTGTCTTACTAGATACGTGGTTCTTTACCAGTAAAATTGCAGTTGAAAGTCACCTTAATAATTCCCTATGTTGTCAGTAGGTGTCATCGAAGATTTCAACAAAAAGCCCGACAAATTTCGACGTGTAGCCGCCCCGATCGCTTTTTTCAAACCTGCACCATGTTGAGAAGCGAAGGCACACGCTGCAGGATTCTTGCAATAAACGATAAATCTATACATAGAATCTTGCTGGCGGCAAGAAAAGTTTAGTAATAAGGACCAATCAACCTTTTTGGTATCAAATTGTACCGAAGGTTTCATTTGGTATTGGTTGTAAAAAAATTCAGAAAATTGATTCTCTTAAACTATGTATCATGCGTACGACATGACCGCTTGGTACTAAAGGAGAATCCATGATGATCCTCGTCACGCCCCAATCTCCTTCAAATTTTCTAACTGCAAGTTCAACAGATAGTCCAACTTCCTCCCCATCTTTTCGTTCAGCTTAAACCGCCTGGCAAAGTCCTTGGCCGCCTGCTCCGGTTTTTGTCCCCGGAACAAGACGAGGCGCTCCGTTTGCGTGGGAGAGATGTTCACGTCGACGTACAGGAGGACTTTGCTGTGCGAGTTGGCGTAAGAACTTTGCTCTTCATCTTCGCTATCAACTCCACTTCTTCCGGGCATCGGCGGCACTTCGCGGAGTCGGGAACTGGAATTGTAGTTGTCAAAATTTCTATCTGCGGATCGTCTCACGGACACCTCATGCCGCAACTTTGCTCTCTTCCTATCCCGATCAGAACTGCGGCCGGTCGATCCTGCTCCGCGGGCGCTGCTGCTCGGAGGGTAGTCGTAGTTGTATCTATTTTCAACATCGTCTCGTCTTCTGTTCCTCCTAGCTGCCTGGGGAGCGGGAGATACCGTAGCGGATCTCGATGTTTATCAAATGTAAAAATGTCTGGGTCTGGAAGGATGCGAACTTGTCATGCTGTCTTTGGATTCCAAAAAAATCTGTATTGCGTGACCAGCAACAGGAGTACAGTTTGTGTTACGCGGAGGCGGAGATGGAATTTCTCATGCGGAATAGGCACTAGGGAGCCTTCTAAAAATCTGTGATGCTAGATCATGCATTACATGCATCATGGATCATACAAGATATGCATCACAAATCCCGAAATCTTCCAGACCCAGACATTTTTGCAATCCATAATGTTGGTCCGTATTTCATGTTGACGCTGGAGTTGTCCAGATCTGAATTGCCATGAATTTCTTCTACTTCATCCTCATCTTCGCTGGCGCCGTACAATTCCTGATCTATCCTCCGATAATACTCGTCGTCAAATTTCTGCTGCAACTTCCCCCGTGGCGGCGGCGAAAATTGCGGGTCGTGGCGGTAGCGCTCGTGGTAAGAACTGTGTAGAACTTTGCTCACGCCCCCGCGGCCGCGTGCTGGTGGACTACTGCTGTGCTGCCTTTTGTTCTTTCTCCGAAAAACTTGGCTCGGGTACGCATGCTTGGGCGGGAAACGCTCTTCTTGAAACCTGTGGCCGGTAAAAGATGAATTTTTATTGCATATTTGCTTCTGTGTACTTACTTACAAATTAAAACCGATAGAGATCTTTACTGCCCAGCATGTTCTTCATCTTCGTAAATCCACATCACAAGACAGTGACACCATGTTGCACATCTACGCATCACAAATTGAGGATGTCGTCGTTTAGTATCAAATTAGAATACCTTCTCAACTCCGACTTCTCATCAAAGGCCCTTCTCATGCGTAATGTCACCTCGTCGTACCCGGGTGGCGTTTTTGCCCGCTGCACCACATGTACGATCTCCGACGAGTTACTTTATGAGAGTGCACAACTCCCCCTCCCCCTCATTTGTATTGCATGAACAGCACTACAAACACCACCATACGTGGAGCCTGTGCATGACAAATTCATGCGCCTCGTGTAGTACCGTTTGGGCTTCCCGAATCTGTCATGCAAACAGTACGACCACAGGAAAACCAAAACACTTGGATTTGGGGTTTTGCATGACAAGTGAGGGGGAGGGGGAGTTGTGCACTCTCATATATTCTGTGCGCCGTTCAGAAGAAGTTGTTGCTTCAAGTAGTCTTTTCGAACAATCGACTTCTTCTTCATATTGGGCTTGAACGTGCACTATGCATTGCAAATCTGTCTGCGTCTGGAACAAAGGTGGAGCTTGTCATGCTAAGTCTGGACTTCTGTGCACAAATCTGTATTGCATGATTGCCAAAAGTTGTCCAGCACTTTTGACCGAGCCGAAAGGGAGTTTCTCCTGCAGGACAGGAATGATCGAGACCACCTCACAGAATCTGTCATGCCGGGTCCTGCATGCCAGACCCCGTGCGTCGTGGAAAATTTGCATCACAAGTGTTGCAATTTTCCAGACCCAGACGTATTCGCAGTTGATATGCACTCTTTCAGCAGCTTTGCCTTGTTGAACTCTTTCGCCTGCTGGATCGTTGTTTGCTTTTTCTCTTTCAACATCATACCCCTCTCATACAGTTGCTCGTAATTCGCCGGCTGGAGGTTCTTTCTCGTAGTCGTTCTCTTCGGATTATTTGCTCCTGCTGCAGCTGCTATCTTGTTGCTGTATTTGTCCCAGGTGGCTGTTGCAGTGTCTTTTGACCCCGTGGCGCTGTCGTCTGGTGTGATCAGAATCTTATCGTGATTCAGCTGCTTAGTCACGTTTGTTTTTCCGAAGTTTTTTTTCGAGTGCACGATCACATTCCTGGCTCCGCTCGAACTACTGCTTCCACCTCCTACGATGTTGCTACCACCCTCCTGGTGCGCACCGCTGCTTAATTGTCGTCCCTTAGTAGTACCTGCACTTGCACCCCCAGCACCTCCTCCCACCGTGTAGGTTCTGTCCGGCCGAAACGTGCATTCTCTGTTTCTTTCCCTTTCCAATTCTTTTTTCGCGAGCTGTTTCTTCTCCTCCGATTTCTGCTTCCGCCACAGCATCAGGTCCACGTGCGTCATCATACCGCTCTCCTTTTGTTGCTTTTTGGTCACTTTGTTCGCCAGGATTTCTTGTTGCCGGCTCTGCCTCTGGTGTTGTCCTTTATTGTTTTTCAAAAACGACGCAGGAGTGGTTTGTGTTGCGGGCTGCGCATGAAGATTCGACTGTTTCATCTTCATTGCCGTCGACGAAGAGGACTCTTTGTTCACTTTATTGCTCTCCGGAAGTAGTTCCTCCTCCGCGGCACTGTAATACGCGTTGTTGGTAGTGCTGTTACTCATTGCAACTCCCGCCGCGTTCTGCTGCTGATAGTTGTTGTGCAAGCGGTTGAAGTAGAGCGGGTAGAACTCCTGCCGTAACTTACTCGGATTGTATCTCGCGACCAAATCCCGGACTCGGCTCGTGGAAACAACTGGAACTTCTGGGGGATTGTCGTGGTTTTCTTTTTCATTTTTACTAGCATCTTCACCGCCCTTCGTGTGGTTATTTGAAGACGTTCTTCCCAGCATGGAGGGCGCAGAGGCGAGGGAAGGGATCTGCTGTTTTATGTTGTCCATTATCTTCGCGTCTTGTCCATTCTCCTCTTCATTTCGCAACGTTTTGAATGTCTCCTCATCCACCGCACCCATCAAAACGTGGAAAAAAACCGTCAGAGACAGCAAGTCCGTGTGTCCGGTTGCTTCCGGGTCCAGGTAGCGCCACAGGGAGAGTTTCAGCGATTCGTTTACAGAGTTCAGAAGGTTGGCATTTTCTGGCTGCAGGTGCTTGTTAATTCCTGTAGTTGCGCTACTAGAGGAAGAGGAGGACGTTGCGTTCGCAGGATGGGTGGGTTTCAAGCAACCCATTTTTTCCAGAAACACTCTATGGGAGTGCCAGGATGGAAATCGACAAAGTTAAAACAACTTGTAATGCATAAAATCGATACCAATTGGACACCCGGCCCACGGTTTCTAGTCGGTGCATGACAAATTTTGTCCGTACCGGAAGCCAGCTTGTCATGATGTTTAGGGCAAAGGGGCTCCCCTCTGTGATCCTAATCAGCAGCCCAATGCTCGACCCTTACCAGCACTACTATCTACCTCCCTTGCGTCCTCTGCAATAGAGGCAATTTTTGCGGTGCATTTTATGCGTGACAAACTATTTCAACTTTGATGATTTCGATCCTGACAGTTCCATACACTCCCAAATCGGAGTAAACGAGCTCGGACGTCGTGCCGGTGGAAGAACTCGATCCTGTTTTAGGATGAGTCAT